GATGTAAACCCTAAATTGAGTTGGGCATAATTCAAATTGTCTTATTTTGGTTATGTTAATTTTTATATTTTCGATTAACTAGACAATTAATTATTTCACTTTTTCTCGTGAAATTAAAAGAAATATTTCACGACAGAGTAAGAAAATAGAGGGGGAAAAAATTTTTAACCACGTGCAATGTACGTACATCCAAATAAAATGTAGAAGTACTTACAAGCATAGCGAGAACAAAGAAATTCAGATACAAGAAATTAGACCCACTTCTACAAGCACAGGCGTAGCACAGTTTTATTAAAACTAAAACAATTCATCAAGAGCAACGAACAACGCCAACCGCCTTTAGCAACCCCTTTAATCCGAATTCTAGATCCCTTCTAATTCTCAGCACCGTTTTAGAGCAAGTATTACTGAACTATCCCTCGATGTGGGCCAGACTGCAACCCCTAATCCCAATCTATGTTGGATTCACTGTTTCTATATATAGCGGGTGTTTAAGGGATGGATGGGGGTGTCAGAGCTGCGTCCCTCTTCTGAGCCCGTCCCCTCGTCTCCCGATTGGGCGAATCTCTTCCCTGAGGTCCTCACCCTCATCGCCAAGCGTCTCTCCGCTGCAGATTACGCCAGATTCTCCGCCGTCTGCACCTCGTGGGCTTCGGTAGCATCGCCGGAGAACGGCATGCCCGGCCCCCTCGCCCTCCGCAGGGGTCAACCCTACCTGCTGTTCTCCGGAGACGGCGTCGGCGACTGCGAGCAGAGTGACTTCTGCACCCTCTTCGATTTCCTCGACGACTCTTTCCGCAGGATCCGCCCTTTGCCGGAGATCCGCGGCAAGTGGCTCGTCGGATCTCAGTTCGGATGGCTCGCCGTCGTGGACGAGCTCGCCAACCCTAGCCTCCTCAACCCGTTCACCAGAACTCAGATCGAGCTCCCTCCCATCACGACCGTTCCTGACGTCGATCCTGTTTACGACTCCGAGGGGTCTCTCGTAGGGTACAACCGTGAGGAGGAATACTACCCGCTAGAGCTTTGCCGAGTACCCCTCGTGATAAGTAAAATTGTCCTGTCCTCGGCCCCAACAGCCGGCGATTTCGGGGCCGTGGCCATCGGCCCTAGCGGTCTTCTTATGTTCGCTAGACCCGGGGAGAGAAAGTGGAACCTCTGGGATATATGCCGACTATACGCTGTGGTCGATGTCATATATCGCGACGGTGTATTCCTAGCCGTCAACAACATGGGTGATGTGTATGCTATAGACCTCGCCTCTCCTTCATCTTCTCTGAAGGTTTCATTGGTTGCCAAGGGCTACGGTGATTATCACGATACCAGGTATCTCTTGGACTCGTCGGGGGTTCTTTTGCATATCTTGTGTAAACGTATTCCCCCGGGAGAACTTAGATACCGAACATGCAAAATCGAGATTCGGAGCCTGGACCCTGAAACCAGCACGTGGCTTCCTGTAACGAGCCTGGGCGATCGCTCCCTCTTCATAGGTTCTTGGTGCTCCATGTCCCTCCAGGCCGGGGAAATATCTTGGCTAAAAGAGAACCGTGTCTATTTTACAGAGGACTTCTGGGCGGTGCTCCCATTCTCGAAAGAAGTGGTTCGTGATATCGGCATGTTCAACTTGAACACCGGAAATTTTGAGGCTTGCTATCCTCCGGAAATGAGACTGAAATGGCCTCCACCCATCTGGATTACGGCTCCTCAGTTCTGAATTAAAAGGCACGATTTACTCTTTATTATTATTATTATTATTATTATTATTATTAGTCTATTTTGTTTCAAGGCATTGTGCATTTGTGACCTCCCTCATACGTACTCAGTTGTTTTATTATAATCCTCTACGAGATTCTTGCCGGCTGATTGAGTTCTATAGTTGACGAATAATGAAGTAGGTTTATTAAAAAGGAGAGATACATCTGGGATGAGTTTGCATGCACATGAGAGATGATCTATCAATGTTTAAAACACAAAAAGCAAGATCTGCCTTCTCATATTAGAGTTTTTATCTTTTGAGATTCTTGTGGTAAGGATCGATCCTCAAAGTATGAGAACTATTTGGGAAATGGCTTTGGTAAAACTCTAGGTTATTGTGTACTTGGATACAACCTATTGGTAAACAAATCGGGGATGTGTTTCACAATCACATCATGTTTACTTGGCTTTATTAGTTCGAAAAGAAGAACCACCTTAATTGTAGTCCCTTTCCGATAAGTTAGAGATTTCTTTTCCTTTTAAATTCCTTCTGGAAGTATTGCTACTTTTTCATGTCATTAGATACAACTCACATTAATGGGTAATGTCATGGCTTGTCATGATTATAGTACCATCAATAGTTGTGATCAAATTAACCATCGAAATTTTTAGGGTCTTTGAATCTGATAGTGGCATCCAAACTAGGTTAGCTCGACAATTTGTTGGGTTCCTGCATCTGTGTCTGACTTGTATCCGACCCTGAAACTCCTTGGACACTCCTTGAATATGGATACAGTAAAACAACCATCATACACTTCATGGACATATATTTTATACTTCACAGTTCACATCCACTTCTTATAATCGTTTGGTATGGATTGTGTTCATTTGAGGCCATACTCAGTTCAACAGCATGACTTTAAAGGATCTTTTGGTATCTAGTTAAGAAACTAATGGTTTCCCAATGTATAATCTACTTTGAAACATAAAAATCTTAAGAAATATTATAAATCATAACATGTAAATAAAGAATATGATAATGGTTAACTTAACAAAGGAATAAGGGCATGGGCGGATCTATATATAGTCCAGGGGGTCCATAGCCCCCCAAAATTTTGGGAAAAAAATATGGTGGATTCTGTAGAATCTCCTCCCTTAAAAATTAAAATATATTCATTCTTTATCTCAAAACCCATACGTCACGCCTAAAACTTTGCTCTTTTCCTCAAGAACGATCTCCTCATTGCTTAGTTGAATATTTTCTACATAATTTTTGTCTTCTTCTTTTGAAATATTTTGGAGATATTAACGTTGGCTATTCTACTCGTTTGTTTGGGTTGTGGTGTATCTCTTGTGAATAAAATTGCGTTAAGAAAATTTTTCGTCTATCTTTTGTACACGGCCCCCCAGAACTGAAATCCTAGATCCACCCTTGAGTAGGGGAGATAAACCCATAATAGAATGAAATGGAGGAATATGATTTATGTGGTCTACCCAAACATTTGGATAAGGACGGCTATTGCGATGTTGTAGTATAACATGTAAAAAAATCGATCTTATGTATATTACTAATTTCAATATGTATATATAGTCGTGTTCCCATGTCCTACCTTTTAAAATTTTCTAGTGTCCCTGTCGGCACTCACACCCCTATGTACCTGCACTTTTGTTGGAATACCATAGCATCCAACATCCTCCGCTCACCATTTTGTACCTATTATTAGGAGGATAAAAGCTTATAAGGCCTCCCAGAGTGCCTATATAGTTTGAAGGTAAATGGAGAACAAAACAATTTGTAGTGACTTTAAAAGGTAAATGGAGAACAAAACAATTTGTATATCCAAAAAAAAAAAAAAAGAAAAAAAAGAAAAGAAAAAGAAAAAGAAAAGAAACCCCAATGTTCTCTTTTCGTGTAAGGCTCTATATTACATATCACAGTAGGTTGAGGATGGATATATGAAAGATGTTTTGGATGCAGAGAGTTTCTGAGTAGACTTATCTAAAGAGGTATCATTGGAAAGAAATGAAAAATATGTGACCAATGTTTAGATTGTGTGCTTTCTAAGTGATAATTACCAGCTGTCAGGCCATTCAAAGTGAAGGGATTTGCTAGTCAGCATCCGCATTTAAAATTGTCAATTTGCACCTACTACCTGCCCTAATTTTTTTCATCTTTCCATTCAGAAAAAGTCTTGCAGATTGTGTTTGCTGCTGTCATTATAGTTATTCCGTTGGGCGTGAGTAAGATTTTGTGGAAGAGGTTGCTGCATTAAAATATTTGCATAGATTTTGTTCTGAAGGTAGGATTACAACCAATTTGTCGGCCATTTGATAAAGAGTGGCATCATTGCAAACAACTAATACAATACCACCAGTCAATTATAGAAGATTTTGAAATATATGAAGTGCGTTAATTAAGTTCAATGAGGAAGTTTTGTTAGTTTTTATTCTTTGCCTTTTGTATTATGCTTGAATCTCTTTGACAATCTTTGTCATACAATGTCTAAGACGTGGTCATCTTCTTTATTCATTCAGATACTTTGTTAGTATGGAGAAGTGTGTGGGGGGGGGGGTTTTTCTTTTTTGCTACATGAGCTTTAAGTGCATTTTTGGTGGCAGATATCTTTACAGTAAGTTGTTTTTTTAAGGTTTATGATGAATCCTCTTTTTCGTACACGTTTTTCATTCTCGAATATGCTAGCTAAGGATCATTCTTATAACAAATGCGAGTTAATAATAGATAATTTTTTTATGCAATTCATCCTCCAACGTGCTTATATGATTTTAAACTGAAGCCCATACACGCATATTGGCTAACAAAAAACTTCGACAATGTAGAAGAATTTGTTTATCAAAACTGGTTATGTACTTTAAATGGGTTGTTTCTCCAGTGGGAGGCGAAGAAAACATTTTGATGAAATATCATTTCACAGAGTTTTCATCAACGATATGTTACTCGTCTCATTATTTGTTATTATGCTTTGTTATTATGCTTCAGTTCGGTTACAGAATTATATAGTCATGATATAAAATAACTATTTGATGTCCTGGATTGCAGATCCCATTGCTGTGGACCTATGCAGATTGCATGCCCCTCAACCAATTGCAAACTGGGAATTTGAACCTGCGAATACAACTCATGTTTCTTCAGGTGTAACATTATGTGATTTACTATTTGTTTATTTATAAGTTGGTTTTTGTTAATCTACTAGATGAATAATACTACGATAAAATATCGGTAGAACTTGTTATTCGAATAAGTGCTGCAAATAAACTCATATTTCTTGAAAATGTGCTTTACTATTTGTTTACTATTTGTTTATTTATAAGTTTGTTAGTGTTAATCTATCGGAGATTCGGAGGAATAACGCTACTGTGAAGCATCCGTTGAACTTATTTATTCCAATAAGTAATTTTATATATACTGTATATTTTTCATTGAAATTTGTTAGATTTTATTGATTATTTGGATTCAAAGAACTGGGAATTCAAAATTATATGATCTTTTCTGGTTCACCTGTAACATGACATGAAGTTTCTGATCTTGATTGAAAGCTTAAACTGATATGGTTAATATCAAGCAAGGCAAATCCGCAGTCGTGGGTTTCTTTTTATTTATTTATTGAGGGGTGTTATTTGTTGATTATGTTATTGGTTGGTTGGGGATTCTGATAGGATTGTGAATATAAATATACTATAAAATATTAGATTCACCTGAAGATCAATAATTTGATTCAGATCTAGATTCGAGTCTATTAATTTTTTTGTAAAAGGACTCAATGGTTTTTTTTAATTAAATTTTATTAGGAATCAAAAGAGATATTGGTATTGCTTTTCTTCCTTTATCTTTGATCATGCGTTGTTAATGCGTGTTTCGTTTTACATTGAAGAAATATCGAATGTATCTAAGAAGTGTTGCATAAATTGATCCCGTGTTCACAATTTATGTGATCTAATTCATATATATGGCTTAATTATGAAAGAAAAGATAAGATGATGAAGGAGATATAAAAATAATAAGAATAGTATTATGTGGGAGGGTATGTCTTCTTGTATTAAGAATGTGGCTAAGAACATTGTTTTAAATATCGGCCGATAATCGATATTATCGGCCGAGTTATCGGATTTAAGAGCTCTCCGCTAGGATAAGTTGGTTTTGTAATTGGTTATCGTTTTGGAGAGTTTATCGGCGAGTTATCGGCGTTATCGGTACTTATCGGCCGATAAGTAAGGTTTTTTTATCGGCATTATCGGCCGGGCATTTTGAGTTGGATTGTTGAGTTTTTAAACCCGACCCGACCCACTTTCTACAATTAGTTAGTGATTCTAAACATGATGGTTTACATTTTGGTATGTTTATATTTCATTAAGCATGGTTAGATTATATTTTTTAGTTATTATATTATATATATACACCATCCAGTATATCACTTCGATAAATACTACTTATCCCCGATATATCCCCGATTTCCGCTATCCGATAAGGATTTTGGCCGTCCGATAAATCCCTGATAACCGATATTTAAAAGCTTGGCTAAGAATAGTCTAGGATAATCCAAGGGTTGAATATTAGATGGTAACCAAAGTTGGGTAGTAGAATGAAGAAGTTAAAAAGGCGACTTAGAACAAAGAAAATATCTTATAAAGTTTAGCAAAAATGTAGGGCAAGAAAAACTTTGAGAAATATAAAGTAGCAAAGATGGAAGCAAAAAATCGGTTAATCAAATGGGAATTTTTATAAGTAGAATCGAAAGAGTATGTATGTATGTGTGTGTGTGTATGTAGGGTAAGGTTGCAATTCATATATGTAACTTAGTTACACCCACCTGTAAAAGCACATATATTAACAATCAACACCGTCTATTATGATCTACATGTCATTAAATGAGTGTGTATCAAATATCATGTGTCTTGGGATTTCTAAGCCTATACTTCAAGCAACTCAAAATAGCAAGCATTCTAGATCGTTACAGATCATTCATTTCTAAGCCACTAGATGTATAAACTAGAAATATCTTATCTATGTGATATTTTTTGTCTCCATGAAGTTTTGGATGCATAGATCATAATGGACGGTGTTGATTGTTAACATCAACGCTCAAATATGTACTTTTACAAATGGGTGTAACTAAGTTTGTTACATCCTAGGTGTATTGTAACCCAACTCGCGCACACACACAAACACACACATCACATTGTAAGTTCAGATTCTTATCATGAGTAATAGGCTATTCGAAATGATGGTTGGCAGCGTCCATTATAATTTGCACTCATCATGAGCTATAGTCTATAATAGATAGATGTTTGGCGATGAAAGTGAGGATCTCAGACAAGAGATTCACCTAATTAGGAGATGAACAGATGGACTCAGCCGCTATGGAAGCGGCAGCTAAGGTTTTGATGGAAAAAGATTGCGCTCGTACCCCCGCCAAAATGTCCTCTATAAATAGCACCGGAGCAGAGCCGGCCCTAGCCTTAAGGCAATCAAGACCTTTGCCTTGGACCTCACCCTGAGTAAGGCCCACCCACCCACAACCCTTTTAACTTCGTTGCACACCCAAAACCCTACCCAAATTTCTCTCTCATTCTCCCACTCCCTTCCGTCGCCTCCTCTCTGATCTCTCTCAAACATCAAACTCCCAAGCTCTCCAGTGACCAGTCTCCCTTCTCTCTTTCTCCCACAGTCCCACTCCCTCGTGCCGCTAGCCACCTCCGCGGATCTCGTCTTATACTTATCTCCTCGGCGTCCTCGTGGATCTCGGCCTCCCCCAATTCCCAAAAGCTCGCTGTTGTAAAAAAAAGTTTTTTGCCAGTTAATTTTATGTTTAATCTTATCTGTTTACGTTGATTCTCAATTATTAGTGCTATAATTTTGTATTAATCCTCAATGTTTGTTAATTTTTGTCATTTAAATTTGAATTATAGCCCAGTGAATGATTTGTCTGCGAGTGTTATACGTGTATTCATTTGATAATTTTTCCAGCAATACAGAGAAATTACTTGTTCGTTTGTACTTTGTAGAATTCTTAATATTCATATTGATAAATTTTTTTTGAGAAAAAAGATAGATTAATATTCATATTGATAATTAATATTTGTTTTTCGTTTTTAGGGGTGTATATCATCATATTTGCTTCTCTCGCGGGCTCACCGCCTCCGAATCTCCGGTTCTATCTTACTAACTAAAGCTATTTAATTTTCTTTATCATTTATTCATATTAATTTTATGCTTAATTAGAAATGTTGTAGATATACATTGAAAGATTTTTATTTGTTATTTTATATTTTGAAAGCATGCCTAATAAAAAATATGTTGAAAGAATAGATGAATCTTTATTTAAGAATGAATTAGAAGAATATGTTGAGAATTTAGGACAAAATAATGATATTAACAAATATGTTGAGAATTTAGGACAAAATAATGATATTAACAATAATAATATTCAAGAAAAAAAAGTTAGTACTCCTAATATTTCGCCTTGGGCCCTAAAATTCCTAGGTACAGCCCTGCACCGGAGTTAGTCCAAGTTCTGTACTAAACCCATTTTTAGTTCAAATTACGGAAGTACCAAACTAAAATGTATTTAGCGAGTATTATTTGATCTAAAAAACATGGGATAGAATTGATTTTTTTATTTTTGCCAAATTGAAAATAACTTAATTATGGGTTAAGTTCAGTCGTGATTCTTTTTAAAGGGTTGTCAAACACACTCTAAAATTAAGTCAAGACTAGTCCTAGTGGTTATGGTTTAAAAGAAAACTAGTTTAAATGTCAATTTTGGCCTTCTAAAAACTGAGTCAAAATTAGCCCACATATTTTTCATCAAAATGGTGCTAGATTTGAAAAAGGCCCCATCTTCAGGACTTATCAAATCACACCCCACGATTAGAATTAAAGGGTGTTACTCTATCACAACTTTAAAAGGATAACTGTGGAAGTAGAAAAATGCATCACAACTTCAAAAAGACTAATATCCAATGGGTGTTTTTGCACGTAATGCACGTTAAATCATTTTATGTTTAAATTTGATTACATAAAGATTTAAATACAAAAAAGCATAGAAAAAATAAATAAGATGGTTATAATATAGAAGATAAAGATAATGATTTCTTCTTTACATGCATAATAAATTTGGATAAACATTTCAAGTCCAAAGAGCTGATACATGATTGAGCGTTAAAGTGGAAAGTGTGTATTTATGTAAAAGATTTTTTTTTTTTTATCAAAAACTACCTTTGAAACGGGGTAAATATGCAAAACAATATTTGAATATTAATTAATATATAAACACTTTTTAAAGTAAACTGCGGCGCCATCAACCACCACCTACTCAAAAGTTTCACTGAAAAAACAAAGGTACCCTTAACACTTATATTTAAAAGAGATCTTTAAATTTTCAGTGAAAAATAGACTGCGCGATTGATTGCACCATGAAGCCTTTTAAAAAGTGGTTGAAGCTTTCTATAGAGTAGCCCTGTATGAAGGTGGTTTCTAGGAAAAATTTTCATTCTAAGTAGTGAGGCCAAAATAAATAATTGAAGTTGAGGTTTCGTGGCAATTGGTTAAGGAAGAATTTTTGAGAAAATAAGAAGATGCAGGGGCTGCTCAGAAAATTGGTGATAACATCACGTCCACAGGGTCGATGGAGCAACTTAATAACTTTATGGAATATTTTGATATGCAAAGGTTGTCTATTGAGATTCCAGAAAGTTACTAAGGCGGTGTTTGTTTCAAATCCTATAATTTTAGGATATGAATTTCACGGATTTAAAATCCATAGGTTTTTTAACATGGGTTGAGATTTCTAAAACTTTGTTTGTTTCATCAATATTTTAGTATTTGGAATATTATAATTTGTAATATTTTGTTTGTTTCAAACTCAAATTGTAGCATACAAATTTTGGAATTTGAAATCCATAGTTGTAGCAAACAAGTTTTAGGATTACTAAAATAATAATTGGTGAATATAAGAACCTTTGGTGAGCTTACCTCCCACAAAAAAACAAATACAATTGTATTCAATTGGGGTAATCATAAGTGGAGCATTTTGCTGAAGATAAAGCAAGGGAAAAAGAAAAGAACAAAAAGCTAAGTTGCTAAAACCACATTCTTTCACCTAAACATATGTTGTATTTAGATCAAAGATCTGGGCATGCTTAAGCTTAATCTAGAGACATTGGAACCTCACCCTAGAAGAAGGCGGAGTACTAGAACAGAAAAAAAAGTGAAAAGAAACACGTAACTTTAAATATAACGCAGTAAATGAACAATAGCGAAAGTGAACTCACAT